CCAGCCCACTTACCCTCTTCTGTCTTCAACATGCATGCTGTTTTGTTTTGTCATGCCACCTTCCTTGTGTTCTGCCTCTGCCTCTCTGTTCTATCCACTCCTCGTGGGCCTAACCCAAATCTTTGGCCCGCTCCTAAATGGGTCAGTGCTCCCTGGGACTCTGCCCCTGTCTCCTTTGATCTGTTCATTCTCCATGCGACAGCTCAGAATCCCGTGGCCTCGGCAAGATCACGTGCTGACTGTGTCTGGCCCTGTACAAGGGATGATTGAAAAGTATGGTGAGTGCTTAAAATTTTTTTTAAATGATTGCAGTAAAACACACATTACCACGAATCCCCTTCACAATACTCCCCCTCGCTGCAAACACATTTATCCATTGTTCTTGTCACTCACGGAAGCACTTTTGAAGTTCTCTTTCCTGAGTGTCTTTACAAGGTGTGATCAAAAAATACAGTGAATGCTCCTGCCACTTGTAAAAATGTGATGTGTCTTCATCCTTCGCCTCATCCACCAGATCTGGTGCTATGTGACTTCCAGCTTCTCCTCAAAGGCAAAATGACCACAAAAGGAAAACATTTTGAATTAATTTAGGATTTTGAGGCAACCAGGACAGTGTAACTAAAGACATTCCCCGAAGAGGACTTCCAGAACTGCTTCAGAAAGTGGCAAGACTGGTGGGATAAGTGTATTTGAAGCAAGGGGGAGAATTTTGAAGGGGATGCATGCCAATGTGTCTTTAGCTGAATTTTGTTTATTTATCCACACACCATAGTTTTCACTCACACCTCATATCTCATGTCCAGCTCTCGAGCTACAGAGCTTGTGCCCAGTGGCCTTCTCCCTCTTCCCACCTGACAAGTCCTAGACACCACAGCCCGCTCACCTGCCCTCCTCCAGCCCAGCTCTCAGTGACCAGCAGGTCACTGAAGCCAAACCCAGGCAGCCAGCGGCTCCCCAGCTTCCTCGGCTGATCCGCAGAGCCCGTTCCTCCTCTTTGTCTCCCTCATCCCCTCCGTGGGGTTGGGCCTCATAAACTGAACTGCCTCGTTATGCTGCGTTTAGTGCTGCACACCCCGGTGCTTTGGGGTTTGGGAGTGGTAACACCAGGAGTCTTGGGTTTGAGGTCTGGCTTTGTGGTGAGGGGCCAGTGACGCACCAGCCTCCTGTCCTCCAGCCTCTCTCTCACACGGTGCTCAGTGGTGGCAAGGAATACAATAGCAAAGGGGATGTGCTTCGGGAGTAAACAGGTAGGTTCCAGGGCCGGTACAGGTAAGGAAGGGCCCCTTAGCTGGTGCTGTAGCTCAGTTTAGGAGAGGCCGCCAAACAGCGCCAGTGCAGCATGAGCTCTAAATTCATGCCATGCCCAGTGGGGGGCGCTGTTCACACATCGTCACCCTGCTTCCTCAGGGCTCCCGGGTGCTGCTTCCTGTGCAGAACCCGGTGCAGATTCGCATCCCTAGAAGAGGCCTTCGTGGAGCCTGGCTCCCCAGACCTTCCGGCTCGTTTCCCTGGGCTTTTATGTACCTCCCTGGTCCTCGTGTTCCCAGACTGTTCCATGAACTACATTATGCAAATCCCCAGCCAGCCCAGTATCCTTAGAAACCGAATCTCCCATCCTCCTCAGCCTGTTCCATGGCATTGGAAACCCACCCAAGTGACACCCACGAGCAAGGACAAGCCGCACCCCAGAGCAGGAAAGCTGCCCTGAGAACAGGCTGGCAGGCTTCAGTCTTTACTGACGTGCCTGGGGGTATGGGCAGGCCAGGCCAGGTAAAAAGCTGCATTTTATGTTTGAAACCTGGAAAGGAGGTGCTTTGATCCCAGCATCTCCCATCTCTAACAGTCATCTTTGTCCAATCCAAATAGCTTGGCTGCCATTAAAATCACCTCCATAGTGGGGAGGAGTCAGTTTTGACATCTTTAATCACATATATACAGGTATGTGAGCCTGTAGAAGGTGACGATCCAATTTTATTGTGCATGATCCAGTCACTAATCTTATGCACAATTTTGCAAGATCTGCTCCTCTCCAGAATATCCTTTCCTATGCTGGAAACATTATGACTCTTCTTTCTCCAGGCTCAAAATATGAGGCAAAGCCTCTGGTACCATACCCACATTTTTTTTGTTTGTTTGGTTTTGTTTTGCTTTTGGCGTTTTGGTTTTTGAGACAGGATCTCACTATGTAGCCCAGGCTGGCCTTGAACTTGAGATGATCCTCCTCCCTCGGGCTCCCAACTGCTGGGATTACGGACGTACACAATTGTGCCCGACTGACACCCAGATTCTCGAGACCCGGTCTGCAGTGGCACTCTGAATCCCCTATCTTCTGCGGGAAAGACACAGCATCTTGCAAGTGACACAAATTGTGAACCACACAGTATTAGAACTGGAAATGACCTGGAAAAAATAAGCCAGTGTCCAGGTTTTCCTGCTTGCAGAAGTTGGATGTTTTATCAGAGCGTCACAGGGGCAGGTTTAACAATAGAGAACTCAACCGCTAAACTCAAGTTTCAAGCACTGTTCTGTTCTAAGTTATTTACACATTTACTTAAATCTCGCAACTGCTGGAAGAGGTAGGGACTCATCTCTTTTGCACCTGATGGAAATAAGGCAGAGAGGCAAAGACACTCTCTCGAGGTCACACAGTAGGCGACTCAGTTTGGACCCAGATTGTTCAATCCCATATCCCCGATTCCTACCCCTAGATGGCTTTGTGAAGATTGAGGCTGTTTTTGTTTGTTTGCAGTACCCAGGTTTTAACCCAGGGACATGAGGGTTCAGATTTTCAAATGTATGCCGAGGTCTCAGGTTTAAGGTTTCTATTTAGCTTTTTCTTTTTGTTTTAAAACCCTGCAGTGCAATATTTAAACAAAAACAAAAAATGAAATCCACCAACTGAACTGATTGCATGAAAACATCCAGGACAAACCTCCCGCCTGAGGAGAGAAAATTATTTTAATAATATTTTTTGAGTTTTCTCCTCTTGGTTGGGTTGCTTAGGGACACAGAGCAGGGGAATCTGTTCTTACAGTGTGCTGGGGTGGGCAGAATATACTCATCCCCAGACTGTGTACTATGCAAAAAATATCTCTGGAAAGATGAAAGAGACAATGATGAAAAGCAATTGCCTACAAGGAGGGGAGTCGAGTGTGCAGAAGAACAACTGTTCCAGTACATTTTGTACCTTTGGCATCTGCAGCCATGTAAACAGATTATCTAACCAAACACACGCAAATTAAAGACAAGCTCTTGCTTGCCTTTTTGTATGTTGCATGTCTATGTTTACTGTGAAATCTTTCATCGGCTACTAAGGCATATCCACTGTCCTATGTTACTGAAATCTTTTCATAAACATGTTTATGTACAATCTTGTTAACAATCTGAGGAAATATAAGCACTCATGACATAGCTTGTATTTCTTACTTTCTCACCTTTCTTTGGCATTTGTCATTATTGTGAATCATAATTTTAACATGTACAGACTCCCACTTGCAGAAGAATTAACCAACATATAATAAGCCGATGGTAGATGTAGGATCGTAGGACTGGGCATTTACCAGCCCCACCCCACTGGATGTTCTAGGGACTGGGGCAGGTGTGGCACCTTCACTCCTCCTAGGAGCAGGGGTTCACAAGGCAGGGATCTGCAGTTCAGGTTTTGTGTCCCTGGCCCCTTTCTAAAATGGCACAACGCTTTATGGAGCTTGGAAGGACAGCTTTTCAGCCACACACTGCTCAGGGACAGGACATGTTCTGAGAAATGTGCCATTAGGCAGTTACATCCCCACGTGAGCACCATGGTGCACTTACACCAGCCCAGATGGTACAGTGGTGCACTGCTGTACTGGCACCGTAGGCCATGGGCCCGTGTGAGGTATCTGTGTCCTCATGCAGCTAAACACAGAGAAGGTCGAGGAAAAACTACTAGAATTTTACAGGAATTTTCCAGCCCCATTACAATCTTATGGAACTACCTTTATGTGGCCTGTGGCTGATTCCAGTGTCCTTATGTGGTACATGACTACATGTGCTCAACACTGATGACTGTGGCCCAGCAACATGCCTGATGGGGCTGGCAAGGTTTTGGTGATGGGCCCTGGCATTCACAAATCTCCAGACAGCCTAGAGCTTCCTCGCAGGGTGGGGAGCACACAGCGGTAGCCAAGGGAGCCCCGGCAGGGCCCATGCTGAGGAAGGGGGAAGGGGACAAGAACCAGCCAGGGGATCTTTCAATGTCACTCTACGGTGCAGGGGAATTTCCTGCCCTGCCCCATCACGAACCATGAAGGTCGAGAAAGCCTTCCACTGTTCTGCTATTTAGCCAGTGACCACATTCTTTTGGAATTTCACCCTCCAGAAGGAGAAGCACAGGTCTGCAATTCTAGCTACTCAGGAGTCTGGGGCAGGAGGATCCCACATTCCAGGCTAGCCTAGGCAACTCAGTGACAACCTGTCTCAAAATAAAAAGGGGAGGGGATGTAGCCCAGTGGTAGCGTCCCTGGGTTTGATTCCCAGTACCACCAAAAAAAAAAAAAAAAAAAAAAATCTAGAATATGCAAACAAAAGAAAAAAATTAATTGGACATCATTAAAATTAAAAACTAAACTTTTGGATTTGAAAGGCTTTTGAGAAGGTGACAGACAACCCAGAGAATGAAAGTTTTATAAGTCAGGTATCTGACAACAGACTTGTATTTAGAATAAAAAGACAAGTGACCAATTAAAATTTGGCAAATTCTCTGGAGTTTTCCTAAGCAGATCACAAATGGCAAACACGTGGGAAGATGCTCAATACGATCAGCCACCAGGGAAACCCAAACCAAAGCTACGGTGAGCCACCCCACCACCCTTGGCAGGATCGCAGTTAGAAGACAGATGACAGTGCTGGCAGAGGCAGCCAACCTGAACCCTTGCCCACTCCTGGTGGGAAGAGAACATGGTACCTCTGCATAGGAAAACAGCTTGGCTGTTCCACAAAAGATCAGAGTGGCCAAGTGATCCGGCAAGTCTATTCCCAAGTATTTATTTACCACAAAGAATCAAAGACATGTCCACATAAACATGTGTACACAAATGTTCGTAGCAGCATTATTTATAATAGACAAAAATGGAAACAGCCAAAACCCATCAACTGATAAATAAAATGCATATAACTCCATTCAATAGATTACAAAAAGAATAAATACATGCGACAACATGGATGAACTTGAAACAAGAACACTGAAAGCCATATTAAAAGAAAGAATGTATCATTTTAATTTTTGTGAAAAAGCCTAGGCTATCCAAAGTTGCTCAGGCTAGGCTGGAACTTGCGAACCTAGAGTGCTGGGATCACAGGTGTATATCACCACACCCAGATCATATTATCTTTAATTTAAAAAAAAAAAAAAAACTTACATCCAAGGTGAAAATAAAAACATTTTTAAACTTTATTATCACTAACAAAGTACTTTCAGGTACGTTTACTATACAGAAACTGTATCTGATAGGTAAACACTCGCTAGCAGAAGGCATACACACTCAAGACCTGCTCGGCCCCCAAAGTACACAGAGCCTTCCTGGGTCTGAGCACCTGGCAGCCCACGGGGAAATGTTTGCCTTTACCACCCTGCTTCCCAGGACAGTGGGCTGCAACAGAAACCACCTGCAGGCCTGGGAAAGAAAAGGTGGAGGCAAACAGCAGACAGAGAGGAGAAATCTAGGAAACTTCAGCACCTGGCAGTGCAAAAACCAGGATGGGGCGAGGGGAGGCAAGAAGGCAGCCAAGACGAGGTGTCTGCCTCCCATGGTGTTCAATAGGCTCTTGGGTCACAGCCATGGGGGCCCAGAGTGCACCCTCTCTGCTTCCTAACTACAAAGGGCCCCCTCCTTCCTTCCCTTCTCAGACCTTGGAAAGAACCAAGCAGAGGAATTTCCTCCGTGGCAGTTACAGAAGGACACCGCCTGACAGTCCTATCATCTCACAGGTGAGGAAACTGAGGCCCAGTATGGGAACTGCCTGCTCAGGTATAAACCGAAAAACGGGAGCTGACCAATGGGGTCGGGAAGCTTTGTCTCAGCCTGCTCAGTGGGATCTGTGCAGTTTTAAAACAGTAACATAAGGTAACAGACAAGTCCAGCCCCAGGTCAGTCCCAAAGCCATGGCATGGGCCTGCATTAGGTGCTTTACTTACTGTATTCTGGAAGCTCTGGAGCTGGGGACTCAATGAGTGACCAGCCCCTCCCAGGTCAGTGAATCCTGTGACAACCCCCCGCCCAAGCCCTGCCCCACTCCCTACTGAATCTGCCTCACTGGGCTCTTGAGGGGCAGTGTCAGTCCCACAAGGGTAGCCCCAACACCCCAGAACCGGCTGCAACTACTCAAATTGGCCAATCCTAAGCCTCTGCACTCCGCTTTCTCCACCCTGCCTTTCCTTCCCAGCAAACTACAAAGAAGGCTTTGCCTGTACTTCCTCCTTGCTCCCCCTGCCTCCTGAGTGGCCCTGGGCCTCCCTGGCTGGCCCTATGTGGCAGAGCCCTCTCTCTCCTCTTGGGAACACAGTGATAAACAACTTCCAATAGCAGTGCTCACTTCAGCAGCACATGTACTAAAACAATTTCCAATAGCAGTCATCTGGATGGTTGGCCTCACCGATCCCAAAAATAATGAAACCTCCTCGTAAAACAAGCCCACTCCAGAAGCAAACATTATCTCCAGAAGTCCTGGAATGAGGTTCAGAACGTTCACATCCTGAAGGTGCCCGACTCTGGGGAGAGCCTGGGCTCAGCAAGGGGCTTCCTGGGCGAGGCTTCTGAGAGAAGGGAAGGGGCCAAAACCAAAGACAGGTGTAGGGCTTGGAGCCCCAGCAAGAACTAGAGAGCTGCAGAGATGCATCATGAAGGCAGGGGCAGAGGCACGCAGGCCCACGCGGGCTTCAGGAGGAGGCTCGGGTCTGCTCAGCTGTCCAGATCCTGCTTGATGCTGATTCGCAGCGGGCAGATGCGCAAAGGCTCAGGGGGCCTGTCGTCCCGTGCACTCCCCACATAGAAGTAGGGCCGCACCTCCCCAAAGCGGGCGTGGAAGGTATACAGGTGGCACTGGCGCTCGGCGTCGTAGAAGGACAGCTCACCCTCGTCACACTCTAGCTGCACGCGCAGGCGGCGTGGGATGGCCAGGACCAGGGGTGATGTGGCCGTGTCGGAGGCCACACAGTGGTCCCCCTCCACACCCTGCGTGCGGCACAAGTACCAGAAACCGGAGCGCATGTCGTGATAGGAGCCCTGTGAGTGGCCGTCCGTGGCCTCCTCCGACTGCACCCGCACCACACCCACCCGCCAGCTCTGCAGCCCGCCCAGGGCCACCTCCCAGGTGTGGGAGCCCTTTGAGAAGGTTTGCGAGCCCAGCAGGCAGGGCGCTGAGGAGAAGCGCTCCGGGTTCTCCACCTGCACATGGTAGCCACGGTTGGTGACACTGGTGAGGTCATCAGCCACCGAGAGCCAGCCAGCTGCTGTGTTAGGATCCAGGCTGAAGGGCACTGAGGACAGAAGGGGAAGAAGGCGACAGTCAGTGAACACGACACCCCTCCTGCCATGCTGGCTGGTCTGCCAGGCCCACACAACCACCTGTGTCCCACCTGCCCAGGCATCCAGGGCGCCACACAAGCTCTTGGGGTTAGGGGTTGGAATGGGTTCCTATAGAAGACACAGGAAGTCCTGAGCCCCAGGACTTCAGAAAATAGCCTTAATTAGGAGTGGGGTTGATACAAATGAAATTAGTTAAGATGAACTCAGACTGTAGTAGGGCCAGCCTTTAATCCAACATGACTGGGTTCTTCTAAAGAGGGGGAAAGCGACAAGACACCAGTGGGAAGAATGGCATCAGGTGACAGAGGGTGGAGGTCAAAGTGTTGCAGCCACAAGCCAGGGACAATTAAGCAGTGCCTACAGGCCCCAGAAGCTAGAAGAGGTGAGAAGGGTCTGCCCTACAAATTTCAGAGGACCATGGCCCTGCTGCCACCTGGACTGGGAGAATAAATTTCGTTAATTTTAACCAACCTGGTTTGTGGTCCTTTGTTATAGCAGCCAGAGATACTAACAGAGGAGGGACTCATAATGTTCCTAAGACTGCAGCGACTTAGAAAAGCATGACATTTCTCTCCCTGACACACCAGGACACAAGGATGGCACAGGCTGCAGTCGCCTTGGGAGAGGTGGCCCTGGATGAGGTCCCTCGTCATACATGTTACAGTTCTGAATAGGCAGGGGAATGTTTGTCTTTCTGAATAGGTGACAGAGGGTCAGGTCCCACCCAGGAAGGAGCTGGGCCAGATGGGGCTGGAGTCCAGCGTGGGGAGAGAAGTGGCCGAGTGTGCCCGGAGGCTGGAGGGAGCCAGCTGGGAGATGGGGTGCAGCCTGGGAGAAGGCTTGGCTGGCTCCCTGGCAGCGTGCAGTGCTTCCCTGCCTGGACTGCCTGCCCGCATCTCTCACCGGATTGCACACACGTCATCATCTTCTTCCAGACACGGTACCGGAGGGAGCTGAGGTACTTGCAGACATCGATGAGCATGTCTGCCTGGACAGGCTCCGGCTCCATGGTGCAGAAGAGCCTGGGAAAGGAGGACTGCGCATGGTGTGCAGTGCTGGGGCCGGGCATCCCGGGGTGGGCCCAGGACTTGTCCCCTTGCCTCGGGTCTAAGTGCCTGGGCATCTTCCCCGACACAGTCCCCCGGACTGGGCCACAAGCCCGTCTGGCTGCCACACCACTCAGGGTTTGGTCAGAGGCTCATCCTACCGTAGCTGTGAGAGATACAAATACGAGGTTCTGCACTGTGGCTGCTGTCCTCGTGGACAGAAATCACATGTATGTGCTCACAGATGTACAACGCTCCAACAGAGCCAAAACGTCTCCCAGCCTTTCCTGAACACCTCCAGGGACAGGGACAGGGTTCTTCCTAATTCACCCCAAAGAAGCCAACAGCCATCAGTGTCCTGAGGCTGAAAGCAAGGAGGCCAGCCAAAAACCAAACCTCAATGTTGGGAGGCCACTGAGAAATACGAGCCATGTGCGTGGCACTGTCCTCCCCACACAGTGACCCTCCACCCAGGGACAAACAACTCTCCAATGCCCCGCCAGCCAGCATGGGTGCTGTGAAAGGACTCTGCACCTGCCCGGCCACTCTCTCCGGGCGCCACCCAGCTGGCTGCATTACCTGCCTGGCCCTGGGGCCACTGGATTTTGCACCACTGGGTTTTCTGCCTGCTCTTGCCCTCCCCTCCACGAGACCTGGCAACTTACCGGCGTTTTCGGCTCTTGTGTTTCTGAAGGAAAAAACAGACAGAGAGAGTGTGTGAGTTTCTAACCTCTGGGGAGTCATACCTCCCATGTTCATGAATCAGATTTAACAGTTATGATGTCAGTACTTCCTAAATTGGTACACAGATTGAGTGTAATCCCTGTCAAAATCCCAAGTGACTTCTTCACAGAAACGAAAACACCAACTCTAAAATTCATACTGAAATTCAAGGAACCCAGAATATACAAAATAATCTTGAAAAAGAAAAGCAAAGTTGGGATGTCTCATACTGCCAACAGTAATGAAGACAATGAAAACTGGCATACAGCCAGACATGCTAGCGCACACCTGTAATCCCAGCTACTCAGAAGGCCAAGGCGAGGATCACAGGTTTGAGGCCAGCCTGAGCAACCTGGTGATACCTGTCTTAAAATAAAAAAAATAAAAAGGGCAGGGGATGTAGCTCAGCAGTAAAGTGCTTCTGGTATGAGGCCTTGTTTGGTTTCGGTCCCAGGACCACCCCCTCAAAAAAAAACCCCAAACAGTCATACAGAACAATGAGATAGAATTCAAAGTCCAGAAATAATCCTCAACTATCTACAAGGGGGCCATTCAACAGTCTTTCCAAAAAACAACAGTCTTCCCATAATAATGGCACTGACACAAGTAGGTACTGACATGTAAAAGAATAAAGTTGGAGCCTGACCTTACATAAACAACTAACTCAAAGTGGATCAAAGAACTCTTACAAATGAACAACAAAAGGACAACCCAATCAAAAAATGGACAAACAATTGGAACAGACATTTCTGCATGGAAGAGCAACAAATGGCCAAGAGGCACAAAGAAGATACTCAGTATCATTAGTCATAAGGAAATGCAAATCCAAAGCACACTGATATACCACCTCACGATCAACAGCACAGCTACTAAAAAAAAGAACTGGCAGGGATGTGGAGAAACTGGATTCCTCATACACTACTGGTGCGAATATACAACAGTACAGCTGCTTCAGAAAACAGCCTGGCAAATCTTCAGAGTTAAGCCGCAGATACTCTAGGTCTCTGGAGACAGGGGCATTGTGGTTCAAGGCTTTGTAGGAGACGGACAACCCACAAGGGTGCTAGCCGGGATGCAACACCCTGCCTAAACAAAGAGGTGGCTCTGACCCTCCCTGCTCTGCTGGACAGACTCCATTCCCAGAGGTGTCAGCCGCCTGTGGATGAAGAAGTAGATAACTCACAGCTTACCTGACTGACTGACAAACCAGCTTTCAAGTTCCAGCAACTTGAACAGTGATAAAATCAGTAAGTGGAAAGAAAAAATGAACTCAACACTATTAAAGGGAGAATAGAATCATCCTTTTCTTAAAAAGAGCGAATACCAAGAAATCATATTTAAATAAAAAATGTCAATAACTGAGCAATTTTAAAAGACTATTTTAAAAGAACAAAAAAGTAAGACTGAGAGTGAATGCAGGAGAAGGGGGAGAGAGATGAGAGGGTCTCAGGCTCTGCTCTGACTGGTCTTCCCAGCCTCTAACGCAAACAGCTCACCAACTTGAGCTCTTCCGGCCAGGCCATGGGAAGCCTAGGTTGGCCAGGGCTGGTGCCATGTCTCCTGCCTGGTGCCTGAGCACTGGGTCCTGTCCCCCAGTCCAGATGCTGAGCTCCTTACCATGAGGAAAGAGATGTCATCCTCCTTCATTTCTGCCTGCAGCCTCTCGATCTCGTGGGCCAGCATCTCAGTCTCTTCCTCAAGCCGCTTCATCTTCTGGTCAGCCAGGAGCTGCTTCTGCCGGGCCTCATTGGTCATGGCGTCCAGGGTGGCCTGCTCCTCTTTCCGCAAGAACTCACGGAGCTTCTCAAACTCCTCCCGGATGCGGCTTTGCAGCCAGGCCCCCTCCACCTGTAGCAGGCAGTTGGAGAAGGCCAGATGTGGGATTCTCAGCTGTCCCCCAGCCAGTGACCTTCAGACTCCAGTAAGCAACTCTACATTCTAAAGGAATTCTATGCAGTCTCTAGAGATAAAACAACAATGTAATCCTTACAAGCATACATTTATAAGCTTAAGTTTCAAATGAGAAAGCCAAATAGTGGTTTTCATGAAGTTTCAAAATGACATCACTGCTTATCGATGACACCATTAATCCTACAATCTCAACACAGAATGTCCTGTGTCTTGTTTGGTGGGACAACAGTGAGAGAAGCCCTGAATCACAGAAACGAGTTAGCATAAAAGCACTATTTTTGTTCTGGTTTTGGAGACTGGGTCTCACTAGCCTTGAACTGGGCTCAAATTCACAATCCTGCCTCAACCAAATGCTGAGATTACAGGTGAATGCCACCACACCAGGCTCCTGAAAATAACAACTTTTTCTCTTTTTATCCTGAGGTAAGAGATTGCACCCAGGGCCTTCTCCCTGAGCTACATGCCCGCCCCTTTTATGGTTTGATACGGGGTCTCTATGTTGCCAAGCTACCCAGTCCGGGCTCAAACTTGCGGCCCTCCTGCCTCCTGAGCGCTAGGATCACCGGCACGCACCGCCGTGCCCACACAGCAACAATTTTTAAAAGTTCTTTACCTACAAATCTTAAGACCCTCATTTGTCTGATCCAGAGACTTTTCTCAACTAACAGGAAGGATTTATTCTAACATGCACACTCTAAATCATAACCACAAAACGCTGTAAATTGAGGACAGAAATATGCTCTGAGAAAAAGCAAGTATTTCTTATCTGGAAATGGAAGAGCCATTTCTTAGTATAATATGAAACTGGGAAGGTTGAAAGACTGAGACAACTGAATATAACTATAACATCAGAAGCTTTGTATGGCAAGGCTATTAATAAAGCTAAACACATAATTCTAAGATGACTACTGGAGAAGCAATTCAAAATATGAGCTCTAGCTGTGGCAGGTTGTAATCTCATTTTTGGGACTAAAAGATCAATATACATTTATAGTTCTGAAAAGATGATGAAACAATTCACTGAAAAACCAAAAATAAGCCCCAAAGAGTGAAAATTACTCAGGGAAAAATAAATGACAAACTAGGAAAAGTATTTGCAACAAACTTATTTGACAAACTGAGTATAAAAGCACTCTTACCAATCTACTAGGGAAAAAGACAAATACTCAAAGAATAAAAAAGAACATAAGTTAGGGCTGGGGATGTAGCTCAGGGGTATGGCATGTGCCTAGTGTGCATGAAGCGCTGCTTCAGTCCCCAGCACCCACAAAGAGGGGAGGGCATAAACTGGCATCCACTGAAAAAACTGGTACAGTAAGTGCCCGGCTTACAATCAAGTTTTACTCTGGGAGAACACCTGTAAGTCAGATTCATTCATAAGTCCAACAAAGTGAGTCTTATACACCTGACACAAATATAGAACGCACACTGCTTTGCTTTGCACTTCCTAGCAGTCCCTCCACATCACCACTGCTCTTCCTCTTGCTTCCGGACATCCTGGGCTCTGACTGGGCACTGTACACTATGGCACTGTACAGTGAGCACACAGCAGCACAGTTGTGACAATGTCCGGTAGACACGTGAGCTAGTTCCATGATTTGCTTGCATCTATGAATGTTCATAAATGTGAGGTCCATTCCTGTCTGTGAAAGTTCACAACTTGAATGTTCGTAACTCGGGGACCTACTGTACTATGAAAAGATGTACAAACTTACCAACATCAAAGAAACTCAAGTGAGAAGAGGTAACATACTGATAAAAGGACTGATAACCTATGTGGGAGACAGAGTAGGATCTCAGGTAATTCTACCTCTCAGGATGCCAAAGAACAGAGCAAGGCAGAAAAATCCACCAAGTGTCGAGGCAACTCCAGCCTCTGTCACCAATGGTAATCACAGCCTCACAGTAGAGGTAAACACCGAGACGCACACTTCACCATCGACTTGGACTCATGGAATTCAAGAGGGAAAGCATCGGTCAAGCTGGAATTCTAGAGGCTTCATGCCTCTCTACACAAATCCTCAGAGCCCTCCACTGCCTGGGTTGGGCAGATAATGGCCCCCACCCCAGTACCTCCAGTCCAATCTGTTCACAGCAAGCCGGTCAAGTGGCTTTGGCCACAGAAGAAATCAAGTCAAAGGGCAGATATGAACCCCATGACTCCACGATGATGACCAGAAAAACAATTCTAAAGTTGCCCTCCAGAAATGGCAGGGTGGTAATCACATTCTTCGAGAGAACTTCAGTATATGTTTGTAGGTCTGATATATCAGGGCAAAATGATTCACTAAAAAGTGCAAATTGTTTCTTAAGCCAGTTTGTTGGGTCTCTGAGACACCAGAAATGTTGGGTGGCTTCTGTTAGGCACGTGTCTATGTATTATCTTATCCGAATGCGTAAACAAAAACTGCAGTACAAAGGAATTGTCCTCTTCTCGTTTTGAGGACCAGTTGGACAGGAGTTGTTTGGAGACAGACTTAGATTTGAAAGTAGGTCTTCTTTGGGGTCCTTCCTCCTGCTGTCCCTTCACCTGGAGGCAAGCCTGTTTCTGACCGTTTCCCTGGCTCAGCTGTTACTTCCTGAGGTGAGTGCTGGGAGTAATCACCGCCCGGCTGACTCATCGCAGCCACTGCAGACACACCTGGTTCTGGCTGTTCTGTACTGCTCTGGGTACTGCCCTCCTGCGCTCGTATGTCCAAAGTCAAGGACTGGGCTCAGAAAGAGGCTTGCTAACATCTAACCAAGGAGTTCACCACCTAACTTCAAGATACTGGGAATGAATAGTGTGCCAGCTGTCCTTATATTCAGGTGAGAGGAGATCAAAAAGTAATGAAGTGTCTTGGAGAACACACACCAAGGAGACAGGACATCGAGTGAGAGGGAAGGGCTCTTTTGGGGTGATCAGGGAAGGCTTCTCAGAAGGGACATGGGAGCTGGGACTTTAATGACAAAGATGTTGCAGGTAGGGCCTGGGGAACAGATGTGCCTAGTTTAAGAAACAGAGAGAAGGCCAGGGTGGCCAGAGTAAAAGCAGTAAGTAGATATGGTTAAGGAGCAGGCAGGGGGCAAACAGCAGCCTTGGAGCCATGGGAAAGTCTGGATTACACTCTGGAAGACCATGAGGCAGCCTGTTTGTTCATTTATTTCAGAACTGAAGGCCGTACCCAGGGCCTTCATACTGTGTGCTGCAACCCCAGTCTCGTATTTGGTTTCTTTTTTTTTTAATTGGGGCTTGAACTTGCAATCCTCTTGCCTCAGCCTCCCAGTGCTGGAATTACAGGCGTACACCACCATGCATGGCTCACTGGGCAGTTTTAAGGAGAAGAGTGGCATAATTGATGTTTTTCCGGCAGAGCTGCAGGTCCATCACGCACCTGCTCTTGTGCGCCCACCGCTGAGGTGCTGTTGTGGCTGGGCGAGGAGCCCCATGGTTGAGCAGCTTCTGGTGTCACGTTGCAGAGGGGGGTCCCTGGGTTGCAGGAGGAGAAACTTCAGGGCTCCTGGGAAGAACTGCACTTCAGCAATAATGGGAATGGGAGCAGTGTTCCAGCCTCAGTTTCTATTTATAATGGTGACATGGAAAAAATACTGCTAGATGCCCAGCATGAATCTGGATGGAGGAGCTCAGAGTTCTCACTGTGACAGCCCACCTCGCTCAGACACCAGAAGATACTCACAGAGCTTCTGAAATGATATACGGAGCACTGGAGAAAAAAACAGCTCTCAGTCCGAGGAAGGTTATATTGAGAGAAGGAAAGAAGCTGAAAGCATCTTGAAGAAAAACTCAGATTGGATATGGGACTGGTCAAGTTGGCCAGAAAATATAACCCCTAAGGGTTTCTCTTTAAACACCCGAAGCGCACAGCTACTCTCAGCATGAGAAACACAAGTGTTATGAAGGAAGGGGGCATTTTCTCAGCAGAATTTCTAAAGGTTTTTCTTCCGTCTCTGCTGCTGTCTCATCTACTAGCCTTTGGATCAGGGATCTACACTGGAAGGCGTCTGAGAACCTCCATCAGCACTTTTTGATGAAGAATTGGATCCAACTTTGTTCATGTGGTAGGGATTTGTATCTGAGCTTGTGACAGCTAACTTGAAGAGCTATCACGATCCTTGGGTGGCTGCCCCACTTGTTTATTCTGTACATGCCATGTTCCTGATTAGTAAAGTGAATGAACAGACACTAAAATCATGCTGATCTATAATTATACCTATGGGATCAATTAATAAGCATGGCAGACTAATAGCTACTGTATGAATTTGGTAGTAAATTTTCTTTGGATAGTAAGTATAAATAGTATAAATAATTTAATATCTAGTCATGACATACATAGTATTTAAAAATATATAACCTTAATTCAGTTAAAACACTTTATATTTCAAAGAATGAATAACACTGATATTAAAATCACTACATTAAGGGGTTTGCCCAAAAGAAATACCGTGGCCTTATAATTACACTATTGTAGAATATGTTTAATTTAGATGGATGCAGATTGTCTATAAAGACCGCTTAACTATATAAATTGTTCTTAACAGAGAACAAGGTAGTCAGAAATTCCACTGTGAGTTGGTGCACTAAGCAGCTGTTGCTTTTCCAGTGTGAGAACTCCAGGTAGTCACTTTAGGTGATCAGTTTTCTGACAAAGGCAGTTATTCAGTCTCTTTTACACTTCATTACTCTGGACTGCTGGATTTAACTTGCTGTTTGTGCTCAACTTTTGTATGCTCTTAAAATTAGCTTTATTGTAAGCAAATCTACTCTAGAAATCTGGAAGTAGAAAAAATAAATTATTGCCAAATACTTAGGAGAGCATTAATACCATGAAAGTTTCTTGATTGAATCAGGCCTGTTCCCCATTATGTCATTCTTTATCTTTTCTACAGCATGAATTTTAGAAAGGCTGCATCTTTGATACGATGCTGTGTGTATTATACTGTATTTGTTTCACCTTTCCACCCTTAATTCAGGTGTGTTAAAATAAATGTAACATTTTAACTTTAAAAAAAAATAAGTGATGTTTTTCCAAAAGATCACTCTGGTGCAGAGGAAGCAGGAAGGAGGCCAGGTGAGCAGTGAAGTTCGGTAGACCTGGTGTATTCTGAAGGTAGGACAGGCTGTTCAAGGAGTGGACGTGGGGACCAAAAGGAAAGGAGGAATCACTAAGGAGTCTCAGGTCATCACTAGCCTGAGCACAGGGACGTAGTGACGTGCATGTGATGAAGTTATTCTCAAGTCACAGTACAGGCAGCACAGGTGGCCTCTGAGGTCATGCCTGTGGCTTGCTGGTGTGATCATGCCCAGGTCTTCAGGCAGGCAGAAAAGCCCAGTCAGTGCCCAAGAGTTTGGCTCTGCAAGACCATCAGCACCAAGGAAGCCTGACTCTGAGTCAAAAGCTCCCCCGTGAGTGGCATCAACTTCCCCAGGTGCCCCTACCTCCCCACTCGGCCCGCGCCCTCACTCACCTGATTGTGCTTGGCAATGTTCTCATAGGAGCGTCGCATGGCCCAGAAGGTCTTGGCTTTCTCCCGCAGCATGTGCTCCAGGTTCTTACACTTGGCCTGCCATAGAGAACAAGGAGGAGGCAGGCAAGTCAGGGCTGGAGGCCAGGTGGGGAGCGCAACATGCATTTACAACTGGAATTCCTCTTTGACATGAATGCAGCAATTGCATTTACTGAACCCAGTCCTGCCAAGCACTGCAAGCTTAGCTGAATGCTATCTACAGTTCTGGATTTGAACTGTCCGTTCATAGCATAAAGGGCTGCTGCGTGTCCTCCAGTCCAGCGCCCTGCTGTTTGCCTGGTTCAGGTGAGGCAGCGAGACAGGGCTGAGGAGCTACAGGGGCCTGGTCTGACAGGCTGGTCACAGGTCCAGCAGGGAAGGGCATCCTGCTGAGGCCCAGGGCTGGCCCAGGCTGAGCCCGGAATCCCTGAGCTCCGGGGTAACTATAAAGACAGCATGGCCACAGGCTCCCATTGCAGTTCTTCAAACTGCACTGGTCTGCAGTCATAACGTGTAGGTCTGACAAGAGGAGCTGAGTCACTTACCATGTAGTGAAGTATTCACCATGGGACCGAATCTAAACATGCCGCTCCCTTCTCCCACCCTCCCGACTTCTAATATTGCTTCATCATGTTAAATACCTACATCAGCAAATCCAAATGTTGGTTTGTTTAGCAGTTTTGGGGTTTTTAAAAAAATTTTAATTGTTATTTCTGACTATGTTGGACTCCTTAAAGAACCACTATGAGTTTCAGGTTGGATTCCTATCTTTTGTACCTGAGGTCTACCATTATTCTTTTCTCTATATATTCCTTTCTTTGGTGTGTGTGAGACAGGGTCTCCCAATGTTGTTCAGATTGGCCTTGAGCTCATTATGCAGCCCAAGCTGGCCTCGAACTCACAGTGATCCTCCTGCTTCAGCCTCCGAGTGCTGGGATTATAGACATGTACCACCATGCCCAGCACACTCTACATTCTAAGAAAGCTTTTCAAATGTTTTCTTTGGAAAAATGATAAAAACAATGATTCTAATAACATTAATTACATGACCACTGGCACTTCCTGAGCACTTACTATGTGCCAGAGACTGTGCTAATCATGGAACAGAAATGACGTCTTTGACCACTGTGAAGTAAGAATATTGCCCCACCGTACAGATGAAAATGTGAGCCAGGAGAGAGGAAGACTGCCGATCCACGGAGCTGGCACGTGAGCACAAGTCATGGGGGTGGCTGCTGGGAGGAGACAGCTGCTTAAGCTGCAGCAAGACAACGTGGTTTTTCCCAAAAGCCTCATCCCCACCTGGACACGATCTGTGAGAGGATAGCGCAATAGGATGAGATGTTTGGGGGACTTGGGAGACGGAGGGCACTTTGCATGTGGAAGAGAAGTGAATCACTGGTGGCCTGGGGTAGACCAAAGTGCACCAGCTCGCAAATGGCTCCAGTGAACCCTCCCTGTGGCCTGGGCTTAAGGACTTGTGTATAACCAATGGAATGTGGTTATGTCACTTGTGCGATGAGGTGACAAAACACTCTGCACACCTAGCCTTTCTTTGTTGCTGGACTGCTGGGATGGAAGTCAGCTGCCATGTGGTGATCACAGAGTGGCTACTCTGCCAGACTGGTTCTGAGGGTGATCTCTGAAGGAATGAGGCCTTAGGCCCACAGTCCCTGCCAACACCATGAGTGGACCTCCCCGTGAGGTGACATCTCCATGGTCTCTTGGGCACGCCATGAAGACTTTAAATGTGGCTTACAAGGCAAGAGGAACAACACCCTTAGGAAAGATTATTCAAACCGATTCTAAGACGGTACCCCAGCAGGGGTAGGGATCCGGGTCATGTAGGGGCCCGAAGACCACGAAATGGCCATCATCTGCACCAGGTGGGACAGATAAGAAAGGGATCTGGACAAGGCAATTCAGAGGCCTGGACCTCAGAGGAGTTCCTGGGAGATCTGCTGTGGAAGATGGAAGGAAATCTGAGTACTGACGTGAGAACACTACCACTTCAACTCCCTGTCCCTACAATGAGTACCTCCTTTCTCCTTCAATGAGTGGCTGTATTTCTCCAAGTTTCCATTTTCTTACCAGTAAAATATAACTATCTCCACACAGTCCCCTGTGGGTCTGGTCTGTGTATTTTAGAGCATTTTAAATTAGTATTTCTACTCAATGATGAACTAAAAAATACTAAGATAAACCAATTCCGAATCACCTAATAAACAGTGTGATACATACTTTCAGTTCCCCCAATTTCAGCACCAGCACATACGGATTTGTTAATCCCTCACTGGACACCAAGCTATACTACTGCCATGGTCTTGGCCTATCAATATATTATGGCTTGTATCTAAATGTCCCCCAAGAGCCACATGTACTCATAGGTGGGGCTTTTGAAAGGTGACTGGATTATGGAGCTTATAGCTGACTTGCTGTTAGGAAGTGAGCTGGGAGGAAAGGGATGGGCCACTGAGGTTGTAGCCTGGAAGAGATTATCTTCCTCCTCAGCCCCTCCCTTGTTCGTTCTCTCTGCTTCCCCACCAACATGCCCCCATGCCATGCTTTCCTGCCTAGAAGTCAGCTGGCTATGGACTGAAATCTCTACAAATACGGAGCCAAAATAAACCTTTCTTCCTTAAGTTGTGAGTGTTGGGTATTTATCCCAGCAGTGAAGAAAGTGACAAAGATTTTGATGCCAGAGAAGTGGTATTGTTGTTGTGATGGTTCCTGACCATGTGGTTCAGAAGTCTTTGTTATCAGCTCACAGGAAGAGTCTAGAAAAGTTGGGAGATGCTGGCTAGAGAAGCCCTAGAATGTTGTAAACTGAGATTAAGGGGAGATTCTGGTCAAAGCCCCACAAGACAAGAATGCTGATAAAAAGGCAGAAGGTAAAGATCAGGTTCAGGTGGTTTCAGTTGGGAACAAGGATTCCACTGGCAGTTGGACCCTAAACCATGTGTGTTATGCTCTGGCAGAAAATCTGTCTACATTTATTCATGGCCTGAGGCTTCACAGGAGATTAAGGGCAGTGAACTAATTAATCTGACAAAGGAAATTTCAAGGCAGCCCAACATTCAGGCTGTGACATGGGTACTGTTGGGGACTGTCCATCTCCTGATCTGTCCCTCTCCCAACTCCATCTGTCAACCAGTAATCCAGTCCCCAGGCTACCCAGTACTTACTTCAGCTTTCTGAAGTCAGGACCTAGCATTTCTGCCAGTGGATATAGGAAAAAGCATTGCTGTGAACCACTATTAAACAAATACGGTGTCAGGAGTAATAGGTATACTCATTCAAACATGCATAGTGAAAGCACCACTACACACCCCTTTACTTGAACTGTGTCAAAATGTGTATGGAACTGTAATCACTTGACACTTCTTACAAAAGCATTTTAAAAAGAGGGGAGGGAGTATCATGGAGGCCAAGTACTGGAGGTTCCTACAGTACCTTCACTTCAATAAACTCAGTTTCTTGCCAGCTAAACAGCTGTTAGCCAAACTGTGGATTTGACCCATGTATTAGTAGGAGAGTAAACAAATTTAGTGTTTCACATGATTAACTTAAAAATTCAGTAACAAAAACTGCCCGGAGTACAATGGTATTTCTTTTTAAGGGCTAAGGTTAAATGTTTTCCAAAAATTCTGAGGCAGCTTAACCCTTACTTTCTAATCATTTTTCCTTCCTACAACAAAGACTTCTCCATTTGTTAGTTTCCCTCCATAGGTAAATTGCTCCTTGGCTGATTTATAGCCACTGGAACCCCAGGCATTAGAATGCTGAAAGAGTGATCCAGAATAAACCAGCAGGCCAGGGCCAGAGACCTCGCCCCATTGCCACACAAACCATGGTGTCAGTTCTGGAAGGTGAAGACTGTGCTGGGAAAATCTGAAGGCTCCATAACCAGGTCGGGTCCTGGGCTCCTGCCCTATTCTAAACGGAGTGTGTCCAGCTCGAGGGCTCGCGTGCCCACCCACACCCGTGCTGTTCACAGGCAGCTGGGCCACAGGCCACTGGCACAGGGTTCCAGGCCTGGGCCCTACACAGAGTGCGGGGCTGTCGGGGACGCCAAGGAACCCCGCTCTCACGTCCGTCTACTTCTCTCCTCCCACCGCGGCCGCCTCGGTGAAGAAGGCCGCCCGCTGTAGGTAACCAAATCGGAGAGGTGGGGGTCGCAGGAGGCCCCCGAAGCTGATCCACGGGGGACGCGGCAATTGAGGAGCGGGGGCCCTGCTCCCGTCGGGCTCTGGCCGCCAAGTGCGTGCCCGGCCACCCGGCGCGCAGGGCGTCTTACCCGGAAGTCGTGGGCAGTGTCCTTCACCGGCTGCACGCGGTGGCCCTGGTGCCGGGGGTCGGCCTGGCACAGGCAGCACAGCAGCTCCTTGTCCTCCAGGCAGAAGAAACCCAGCTGGCCGCGGTGCGGGCGGCAGACGCGCGGGGAGCGGTGGCCGGCGCGGCGCGCGCCCTCGGCCTCCTCGCGCAGCAGCTTCTCCACCAGGTTGTTGAGCGTGTGGTTGGTGCGCAGGTCGGCGGGCGACGCGCGGGCCTTGCACACCGGGCAGAAGGGCGTCGCCTGCACCTCCCAGCAGCGGCTCACGCACCCGCGGCAGAAGTTGTGGCCACACTGCAGCGTCACCGCGTCACGGAAGGGATCGAAACAGACGGCGCAGAGAAGCTCCTCCTTGAAGGAGCCAGAAGGCCCAGGCAACGCAGCGACCGGGGTCAGCTCCATCACCACCGCGGAAGCTCCCCCCGTAACTTTCACTCTGGCCCCTCCCACACCCTTGGCGGTTAGAAACCAGAAGGGCGTCGCCTAGCCCCTTCCGGTTGGACCGCTGAGCGACGGCAGCGCTGGCCAATCGTGAGGGGGGTGCTGGAACGGTTCCGCCCCACTTCCGCTGATGTGCTAGTGGACGAATCTTCTAGAGCGCTGTGGGGCTGCCGTTGTCACTGGCCATCTATTCCGGCTTAAAGTGGGGAGTGAAGTCTAGGAGCCCCTTCCTTAACCAGTCCCTGGAAAGTTCAGGCCTGCGAGGTAGGAGAAAGCAGGACCTTAACCTCCCCGTTCCGGGACAGTGGCAGGTTCTTAAGGCATCATTAGTGTCCTCACCCCTTAGAGCTGGCAATGGTTTCTCAGTGACCCGTCCCCTCTAGCGTTCGTTGTTTACGTGTCCTGGCCACTCTTATTCTAGCCTGGGGAAAACACTTGACTGAAGAGGGTAGTGACAGGAACTGGTTCTTGGCCTGTGGCGATAACTCAAAATTTCAAGATCTAGTTCCTCTTGAGTAATACGGCTATCATTCCTCTTATCTCCATGTCATATTGAAAATTTTAAAGTGAAAAAAAATATGGAAAGTACACATGAAATCAGGCAAGGCCCCATTAAAACAGAGATTACAGATTTAAGCAAAGTTAGCTTAAGGAACCAGAATTCACACTGAACTCTTGCCACCAATGGCGAACACAATCTCCAACTCTCCATTCTTGCTTCAGTGGGATTATTTTACAGCCTTCAGATGTAAGATACCTTTCACGTGACGTGCTTCCAGTCCTGGTCTCTGCTAAGAGGAGACTCGTGTATTGTGCTCCTGTGTATTTTGAGAGCAGAAACACTGTCTGCCTTTTCCTGACAGTTTTTTTTTTTCTTTTTTAATCAAGGATGTTTCTGTGGTGAACAGCTTTGGAAGGCAGAAATAATGTCTCCCTTGAGGCAAAGGTCTGGTGGACTTATTCCCCGTTATCATGTAACATTCTAGTTTCCTAGACTCTGGGTTTCTCTGCTAATAGTGCAACTTGTGGTATCCCTCATTACACAGGCACGTGGGAATTGAGGCTCAGGAAATTGGCCCTGTGGATGCTGTGACTATTGTTAGTAATAAATTGGCCTTCGTTCTCTGACCGAGGAGTCTCATGTCTTCTACCAGCATCCACTAGTCTTTGGCCGCTACCTTGTTGACTTGCAAGTAAGGTGAAGTCTCAGCGCCTTTATAGTTCTTCATTCCTCCTTTCTTCACAATAGTCCTTTTCTCACAGATGAATAGCACTAATTCTTTCTGCTTTCAGTGTTTCTCATATGTAATCATGGCCCTCCTGTTTAGTCACCTGGGGAGCTTCCTTTTTTTTTTTTCTTTCTTTCTTTCTTTCTCTCTTTCTCTCTTTCTCTCCTTCTCTCTTCTCTCCTTCTCTCTTTTTCTTTCTTTCTTTCTTACTTTTCTCATTCCTGAGACAAAATACTCAACATTCAAAGTTAAAGGAAGAAGACAGTGTGTAGACAGTTCATAGTTGGGTGGCTCCAAGGCAGGGTGGCATGGCAGAGGGGCATCGCAGAGGAGAAACGGTTCATGACAGGCAAAAGGCAGCAAAGCAGTAAAATACTAAGCAGCAACAGTCAACCCCAGCAGCCCTGTTTCTGTTCAGGCTGCTCACCCTTAGGGTGGTAGCACTCACACCCAGGAAGGGCCTTCCCATTATCCACTCCCAGAACTATGACAAACCAATTAGTGGACTAACTTAGTAATCCCACACCCTTGATCTGATCCCAGCATCACACTCGAGATCCAGTCAACTCTGAAAAGCCCCACCTATGAGTGCATGAGGCTTTGGGGGGACATCAAGACCCAGCCATAACGTTTTCCTTCTTTCCTTTCTCAGAGTATCACTATGAGTCTAGGCAAGCTTTGAACTCACTATGTACCCCGGGCTGAGTTCAAATCCATGGTGATCCTCCTGCCTCAGCCTCCCAAGTGCTGGCGTAACAGATGCCACCATGCCCAGCTTCCTGGGGAACCTTCTAAATGCAGATTTGACAATCCACTGTGCATGGTGATACACACTTGTAATCCTAGCACTCTGGGAGACTGAGGCAGAAGGATCACAAGTTGGAACCTAGCAACTTATCTGGATTTATTGATACCCTGTCTCAAAATTTTAAAGAGGGGAGAGGGGACAGGGGGTGTAGATCGGTATAAAAACCCTGGGTTTAATCCCCAGTACTGCCAACCCCTGCCAAAAAAAAGATTCCTGGGCCCATTTCCATCTACTCACCTCTTGGGGAGATGGCCAGGAACCCAGATTTTCACATGTTCACCAAGTGGTTCACAGATACACTAAAGTTTAAGAGACATTATTTTATTTTATTTTATTTTATTTTTTTACTGGGGATCGAACTCAGGACCTTGCACTTGCTAGGCAGGTGGCGGAACCACTGAGCTAAATCTCCGGCCCAAGAGACATTATTCTAAATTTACCCACCCAACAATTTTCAGGTCTCCAGTTATGATTACTGGTTCAAAAATTAATCTTAGAAGTGATATCCAAAAAAATCCACTGATGGTACTCATAAACCCTGTAATCCAGAAACCTCCACAGAAAATCTTGTCTCTGGTCTCATTTTCTTTCATTGTGATTTTTACATACGTCTCATTTGTTTGGGCAGGTGGTCTATACTGCTATTTGTTCTTATCAGATTTTCTTTGTTTTATTGGTGTTTTTTTACCACAGGCTCTGAATGAGACCACAAATGAAAAGAAAGATGAAGAGTTCTTACTAATATATGTATTTTTTTCACCTCCTATACGAAGGTTAACATTAAACCAATGAGGTTCTCCAGGGGTTTTTTTGGAGTGTCTTACTATGTAGTTCAGGCTACCCTTGAATTCAATATGTAGCCCAGGCCAGCTCCTAACTTGTGGGCAATCCTTCTGCCTCAGCCACCCAAGTGCTGTGATTACAGGCATGCACCACCATGCTAGTGTGGTTCTCCAGTCTTTATGGAAAAATGGAAGAGTTCTATTCTAAGCTGTCACACAAGTCAATGGCATATCCTAGGGCTGAGTACAGTATTACTCTCCTGACTTCTTTTGCTCCACTATAAAAGAAAATGCCAGAACTAAATAAAGATAAACTTGAGTCATTCATAAGTAAATGGATGCAACTTGAGAACATAGTGTTAAGTGAAATAAGATATATATACTCAAATATCATATGATTTCTCTTATATGAGAAACACACACAAATTATATACAGCAATGCCTCAGTTCACAAACACTTCTTTTTGCAAACAATTCAGTTCGCAAACAGAAGTATTCAACAAAATTTTGCTTCTGTTCCCAAACTCTTCATCAGGTGACAAACAAAACCACAGCCATTTTCCCCATACAAACACAAACACACCAATCTTCCCCAAGATCAGAACAAATTAAGTTCATATACCGAAGTACCACTGTATGTATATATGCTCACACTCAAAAAGCAAAATAGAGGAAACATAAATAGGAAATAGGGAAAGGTTCAAATACTTCCTCAAATTAATATTTCATTGTTTCAAAAATATTTCAATATATATGTTAATTTGTTTCATTTAAACTACTAATTTATCTTAGTTCACTAAAAAAGTTTTGTGTTATTATCTGTTTCTTTTTGGACGAATCTTTTTGGTTTGTGTCTTGTACTCTGAGTACTTTGAAGATAAGGGTACACAGTGTGTTAACTTGTTATTTTCATAGGAAATTTTGTTTTATCTTTTCATAAAATAAAAAAAGTTAAAGAACTAATTGCTTCAAGTTTATACCAGATCAGACACTCTGAAATTGTCTTCTTCTTTACATAGTAGAAAGAGGTTGACTAAGACTTATCTCGAAATAAGGAAAAAGAAGTCTTGGTGACTAGAACCAATCTGTCACCAACTCTTGCTTCTTCTTTTAGTAGAAAAAACATTATTCAGAGATACTTATTAGATTTCAGGTCCTTTGTACACTAGTTAAACTACTGTCAAAGCCTGGTGCAAAAGTTTTTATTTCCAATTTGGACCCCAAACTGGATCCTTTTTCCCTCTTGGAGTTGCAGAACCAATAGCTAAGACCAAGCCTCAGTTGAGCAATAAAGCAAGGTTTATTCTTGGCCAAAGTATAGGAGAAGTGGGGAGCAAAGCTCACAAATCAGTTTCATTGTGGGTAGAGAAGTCAAAGACCTAGGATAAAGGAAATGAAGGGGAGGGATAGGCTGGTAAAGAGGAAGAATGTTCTGGGAAAGGGCAGAGAACTTCCAGGAATTTGGGTCCCACCTCTTTGGGCCTGCTTTCTTTCTCTCCCTCTCTCCCTCCTCCTCCCTCTCTCTCTCATTGTCATCATGGGGCAATTGACAATTGTCATGGTGCTGAGCGATGTCATTTAGCATGCAGAAGTTAAAGGCTGTCAGGCGGTCACTCTGGCAGCCATGCACGTTGGATCCAACCAGGTTTGTTTAGCCTACGTAAACAGGGCCTCCTGCCTTTCAGGCATCTTGTCCTCAAAGATAAGCAAGATTAGAGTAGAGTAGAAATTAGGTCATGTAGGCAGTATAAGATTAGGGCAGGCTTACATTCTTACTGCCACTAAATTCCCCAGCACATACCCCAAGCCAGACACTGCCAGATTCCTGAACTCCTTGCCATCATCACGTAAAATTTATCAGCATGTAAATTCATGTAAGGAACGATCATTTTTAAAGTGTTGTTTCAAAAAATCAATTTTTAGGTGCAGAGAGAAAAGGAAGCATCTTATGTCTTAGTGCATTTTCTGTTGTTGTAACTGAATATCAGAGACTGGATAATCTTTAAAGAATAGAGGTTTGCAAGTATTTAGCTCACAGTTCTAGAAGCTGAAGTCTAAGAGCTTGGTGCTGACTTGGTACTGGTCTCCTTGCTGCATTACAACATGGCAGAGCACATCACATGGCCAGACAGAGCAAGCATGCCAGCGCAGGTCTTTCTTCCTCTTCTTATAAAGCCATGAATGTCATTAGGGGTGCCCCACTGTGATGTCTCATCCAATCCTAAATACCTTCCAAAGACCCCATCTCAAATAACAGTAACATATGAATTTAAGTTTCCAACACATGGACTTTTGGAGAACACACTCGAACTCAAACAGGGAGGAATGGCCTTTTCTCTTTCTTTTTAAAGCAGTGAGCTATAAAGTGGCTGCTGCAAATAAAAGGCAGGTATTGATTGCATAAAGCAAGGCCTGATTCTATTCTGCCTTCAAAGAACCCACTTTCCATATACGCATACAAATAAAAGGGTTGAAAAAGATACTCATGCTAATACTAATCAA